TCTTCAGAAATCTCAAAGGGTTTCTTTTTGTTTTCTTCCTTGGTCATCCATCAGTGAATCCATAAAGATGCCCAACGGAAGGAGGAAAGCCAAGTTGTATCTTTTGTCTCCACTCCCCCTTCTTTCTTTCTGTTCATTCTCCTGCTCACACACATACTTCATTGCCTTTTTATTAGTAATGGTTGTATTAGAGTTGCATAGGAGCCCCAGTCCTTTAGCTAACTAATTAAATAAAAATTATTTTATAGTTGTATAAATAATGACCATTCCTTATGGGAGTTAAAATAATAAACAGCTGAGAGCTAAATTTTCAAATAATATTTAATGATACTTTGCATAAACAACTATTTACACATGACTAGCACACAAACCTTCACTGATGTCCACAAATGGTGAGGCTACGTTGAACTGTTCAGACAATAGGAACTGCACCAAAATTCACTCACTCCTTATGCTGATTTTAAGGGAATACAGCAGTCAAGAGGTAAAGAGGAGGGTGCCCTGAGTAGAAGCCTGACTAAGTAAAACTAACTACGCATACAAGAGGCAGAAATAGTTGTGTGCTCATATACAGAGACAAGTGAGCCCTAAAGTCCAAATTCTGTTCCTTAAATCCAAATGAACTCCATTGACCAGTATTAGTGAGAACAGAATTGTCCTATGCTGTATATACTCTTTGCTTAAGTAATTCATTTGCTAATGTGAATCTGTAAACCTCAGTGTTTAATTTGAAAATTAAATATCAATTCTATCATTTGATTACCTAAATCACATTTTATAGACATTACTAGTTTTAACAAGATCACGTGAGTGGGATTTATGGTAATGAAATTTCAGATCCTAAAACATTAACTTGCTTTGCAATTTATTTATTTTTTGTTAACTGCTTCCTGATACAAATATGAAACTATTAACTCATTTGTTTTAAATCAAACATTACAAATCGCTGTACCCCATGAGATTCTCTAATTAAGAGAAATGTTGAGCTCCGTTACATTATTTTCTCATTTTTAATACATATTTGTATTAAAATCACTGTCAGCTGTTTAATATTTTTATGAAGGTTTTACCTCCATCCTTTGAGGCAAATTCACACACGATGTAAGCAGATGCAACTCCAGATCCAAATGTGACCTAACAGTTGAAAACAAGTAAAGGTACTCGTGAGAGGTGGTAATTCTCCTCCTCCCAAAAGCACTTTTACAAACACTGGGAGCAATACAACAGCATCATTCACTCCTGACCATGGCATTTTCCTCCATAACCAGGCTGGAGGTAATGTTCCTACATCACATGAAGGCAGAAAATGAAATGTCAAATTTTATAAATGCCTGAATACAAATGCAAGAAGTTTAAATATGAAGATAAGTGAATGTGAGTGCTTGGTATTAAATGATATTGCTATAATAAGAATCAGAAAATTGGTAGAAGGATAAGCAATGGGACACAGTAAAACCAGTGTACAAAAAATATAGTAATGACAGTAGTTTGCACTGGCAGGAGGTGCGGTGGCACTTCATCTGAAAGAAAACACAGAATAAAATATAGTAAAAAAATTTAAATGAATCAGACAGTACCACAGAATCTCTAGGGATAAAATTCCATACATGAATAATAAGAATATAGCCATAGGAATATGCTACTGACCACCTGACTGTGATGGTGACTGTGAAATGCGCAGGGCGATTAGAGCGGCTACAGAAAACCCAGTAATAATGGGGGATTTCAAATGTCCCCTATTGATTAGGAACATGTCACCTCAAGATACAGAGAGAAAATTTCTAGAAACTCTTAATGACTGCTTCTTGCAGCAGCTAGTCCTGGAACCTACAAGGGGAGAGAATTCCTCATTTAGACCTAAGTGGCACACAGGATCTGATCCAAGAGGATCAACAAAAGACACAAAAACTAACAGCAATTTTTCTTTTAAGTACATCAGAAGCAGGAAGCCTACCAAACAATCAGGGAGGCCACTGGATGATGGAGGTGCTAAAGGAGCACTCAAGGAAGACAAGGCTGTTGTGGAAAAGCTAAATTAATTCTTTGTATTAATCACCATTACAGAGGATGTGAGGGAAATTCCCACACCTGAGCCATTCCTTTTGGGTGACAAATCTGAGGTGTTTTCCCAGATTAAGGTGTCAATAGAGATGGTTTTGGAACAGAATGATAAATTAAACAGTAATAAGTCACCAGCACCAGATGCTATTCACCCAAAAGTTCTAAAAGAAGTCAAGTATGAAATTGCAGAACTACTAACTGTACAACTGTGGTATGTAACATATTGCTTAAATCAGCCTCTGTACCAGATGACTGGAGGATAGCTAATATAATGCTGATTTTTAAAGAAGGCTCCAGGAATGATCCTGATAAATACAGGCCAGTAAGCATAACTTCAGTACCAGATAAACTAGTAAAAACTATAGTAAAGAACAGAATTATTAGACAAAGAGATAAACACAATAGGATGGGGAAGAGTCAACACAGCTTTTGTAAAAGGAAATCATGCCTCACCAAACTACTAGAATTATTTGAGGGTGTTAACAAGCATGTGGCCAACTGTGATGCAGTGAATATAGTGCACTTTCAGAAAACCTTTAAGAGAATTTGGTAAAATTTATTTAGCAAAGTAAGCAGTCATGGGACAGTTAAGTGGAAAGATCTTCTCATGGATCAGTAAGAGGTTAAAGACATTGTTTTTATGTACAATGTCCCACCATTTAGGTGGTCAGCCTTTACATCTGACTGATATTGATTGTATTTGCATTATTTTCTCTGGCCTCCTATCATCTGTTTGTCTTTTATAATTTCTGCACTGTAATCTTTCTGACTGCAGCCAATCCTGCATGCTGCGCTTCACCCACTCCTTTAAGTCTCAGTTAAAAACAATTTGGGAAAGCTGCATGAATACACAGCTGAATATTACAGCTGAACTGCTAAAAGCCTATGGGACAAGTGCTAACAGAGCATTAGGAAAAATGTTTAAGGTACAGGAGCAAGAGGAGGTATCAGATGGCTGACTAAAGGCCATAGTTGTACCAGTCCTGAAGAAAAGAGATCATGCTGAGCCAAATAATTATAGACTATAACAAGGTTCAAAAAAGAACCCTGGAGGGAGGGATAGCTCCGTGGTTTGAGCACTGGCCTGCTAACCCCAGGGTTGTGAGTTCAAACCTTGAGGGGGCCATTTAGGGATCTGGGGCAAATATTGGGGATTGGTCCTGCTTTGAGCAGGGGGTTGGACTAGATGACCTCCTGAGGTCCCTTCCAACTCTGATATTCTATGATTCCAAGACCTAGATAAGTCCATGGAGGATAGGTCCATCAATGGCTATTAGCCAGGATGGACAGGGATGTTGTCCCTAACCTCTGTTTGCCAGCGGTTGGGAATGGGCGACAGGGAATGGATCACTTGATGATTACCTGTTCTGTTCATTCCCTCTCGGGCACCTGGCATTGGCCACTGTCAGAAGACAGTCTAGCGGACTAGATGGACCTTTGGTCTGACCCACTATGGCCATTCTTATGTTCTTAGATATAAGCTTATTATCAGTACTGGAAAAATCATGATGAAAGTAATTGTCAACAGATTAAGGCCAGTAATAGGCAGGAGGTAATTGCTGATTTATACATGTAAAGTTCAATAGCTTTCGTTTGTAGGACTTTCTTTTTGTTCATTTCTTGTTGCACTTTTGTGATTGTGACCCTTCCCCTTGTGCAGACTCAAGTTTACCTCCTCCTCACAAAAACTGTTGTTTGTTATTACTTTAGATTATTTACATGTGAAATGCTAAATCATGAAATTGAGGTTGCAGGAAATGATGATGTAAAAGCTAATCTCACATTATTTCAAACGTTTACGTATTCTGTTGTGTCACTTTGACTTCTCCTAGTTAAGGACTCTGGTCTGCAAGCAGTGAACTTTCCCCTCAGCAGGAGCTGTAATAGAAGCACTTCTGAAAGACGAAGAAAGGCTCTTCTGTTTCACTTGAATAAGTTTTTAAAAAAAAGTAGAGAATGAAATACAGGAAGCCTTCCAAATCTTATTCGTTTGCAGACTTAGGGAATAACTTAAAGCAATTTTTAAGACGCTTTCTCTTGAAGAATTTTGTTGTTTGAAAGATTTAAAATCTGTACTTAAAAACTTATTGAATTAGTCACAGCCCTAATGCAAGGTGCAGTGGAGAAAAGGAAGATGAGAAAATAAAGCTCTGCACCTCTTCCACCCCTCTAAAAAGAGGCTGCTAGTTCTTCCCTAATACTCCTAGGAAAGCTCCGAGGCTTCTCTTCCTCCTCCTTCCTCCTAACCCCAACGTATTGCTACTCTTCCAAATCCCCCTCCCCTCCAAAAAAAAAACACCTTCCAGGGCTGCTCCCCCACTGACTCCTAATTGCCAATAAAAAAATCCATAAAACTTTCCCCCAAAACCTGTGTCCGTCCCCCCATGGACTAACGAATCCCTACGAAGCCCTCCAAACTGCTCCAGCACCACCTCCCCCAAACCTCCCGCCTCATCCCACTCCGCAAATACTTGGAGCTCCCCACCTACCTCGGCCATCCCGCGCGCTGTTGTGGCTCCGGCTGCCCGACCCGAGGGTGACCTACCCTAGTGCCCCCCAAATCCAGCGCCGCCCCCTATAACCCCTTCCATGCTCCCACACACAGACAGCGGGGCTGCCCTGGCCTCGGGGGCGCACCCCCCCCGGCCAGGGGCTGCTCGGGAGGGCCCGACTGGGGGGCGGGGGTAACACTTCGGCCACCGCCGCCGTAAGGGAAGCCTCCGCCGAGACCGCCATGTTAGGTCGGGACGCTGAACTCGCGCTCCGCTGAGGCGGGAGCTGCCGCCGGAGGCGGGGAGCGCCCCCGCTGCCCGGCTCCGCCCCGCGGCCTCTGAGTCGGGCGGCGGTCGGCCGGGAGGGGGAGGTTCCGCGGGCGCATGGGGCGGCCGCAGCGCCAGTGAAGGCGGGGGAGGCAGGCAGGAGGCAGAAGGCCGGCCGGGCGGGGGAGCTTCCTCCTCCTCTTCCTCGCAGCGAGTCTCCGCGCGCAGAGCGTACGGATCCCTCCTCCCCCCCTTCGCTGCCCGGTCCGGCGGCGGCCCCGGGAGGAGCAGGGGGCTCGAGTCCTTCCCTGCCGGAGCGGCTTGAGAAGCAGGTGAGAAACCGGCCGCGCCTTCACCACCGGAGAGGCTGCGGCGGCGCCCGGAGAGCGATAGGCCCCAGTCCCTCCCCCCTCCGGAGCCCCCAGTCAGCGCGGCCGCCTCCCCCGCCCTGGGCGAGCCCCTTCCCCCGGGCCGGCTCCGTGTCCCTGGCAGGACGATGGGCGGTGCCCCGCCCCCTTCCACTGCCCCCCTTGGGTTGACAGAAAGTTCCCGGTAACTTTTCCCCGCCCAGCGGGGAGCAGAGCCCGTATGCCTGGCCAGGCTGGGGGGTGGCCGCACCCCAGGAGACTATCTCTGAGGCGCGGGGGGGCAGGAGGATCCCGTCGGTGGCTTCCCCTCTGCCCGTCAGTCCCGTTCCTTGCAAGGGTGGCAGGGGCCGCTGTCTGTTGGCCGCTTGAAGCCTGGCAACAACTGCTCTGGGGAGAGGGGTCTCTGCCTTCCCTGGCTTGCTTTGATTGAAAGCCACAGCGTGTCTCATTGTTTTGAGAGGGGGCGAAAGAGCAAACAAGTTTATTGGAGGCTCCGCTTTTCATTTTCACTTACCACTCCTTTCAGTTTCCTCGACATTTCTCCACCAGGGCGCATGCTGGGAGGTGTGTGGTCAAGGTTTTTTCCCTTTTCCCTTGTAGTTACACCAGCATATGTTTTACACTGGTATTGATGGAAGAGCGTTTGTTTCTTGGCTTTAATTTTGACCACCTTGGCTCATAATGAGCCATATCCAGTATAGCATGGTCCAAGGCTGAATTGCTTCTTTTATCAGTTCAGTGCAAGCGCCCCCTCCCCCACACTATGTTAAAGAAGCACTATGTCTTGAGAATCTAAACCAGCAAAGTCAGGAAATTGAAAATTGATTTCCAAATCAACTAACTTGGCACCATTGTCTAATTATTATGTAGTATTGTATATTCTGTTTATTGTTGGGCATTATTACACCTGTGTGTCTAGCTGAGGCATGGTTACTTTAAATTTCTGACTTTTATATATATTTTTCAATCACAACACTTCACCAAGTCTTCTTTATTTATAAATAAAATAATTAAAAGCATATATAGAGAATACCTAGGCCTCCAGTCCTGCAGAGGCTTGTCCTTAACTTTATGTGCTGTGAGTAGACACATTGACTTGAATGGGACTATTTGCACTACATAAAGTTAAGCATGTACCTGAGTTCCCATAAGATAGGGGCCATATAGTGTGTGTATATATACATCTTATGCCTTAATTGAGATACATGCACTTGCTTGCACTTATTGTAATGTATGCAACTCTATACAACCTGTACACACACTGATATGGAGTGCTGCACTTTGCGTTGTCGGAGTGCAATTATAACACTATAGAACTTTATTCTCAGGACAGATTTCCCCAAACATACCAAAGAATTTTTGTCCTCATTTAAAACTAAGTTTATGTTTGTTCATGTTAAAATTAACTATTTTTAAGATAGTCTAGAGCAAACCTGTCTGAAAACAGTTTGTAATGTAGAGAATATTGGTGGGGAATGATGTTGTTTGCTTTTTTCACATGCTGACAGGTTCATAAAACTAAATGGAATTTTGTCATTTCACACACAGAATTAACCTTCGGCCACAAATCCAAGATGTGAAACTTCACTGTAAACCATAACTTTTTCTCTGAGAAATTATAAGAGTGTGAAACAGACATTGATAATGAATTTGCTTTCAAATATAGTTAGTGTAACTACCAAAGTTCTGTAATACAGTTTTAACACAGCTGTTTCTACTGACTTAATAAATTGCAAAATTGACTCCTTTACTGAACAGTAGAACTTTGGGCCTGAGCCTTACTCTTAAGTACGTACATAACTTTATTTACAAATGGTTCCATTAAATTCACGTGCATAAAGCTAAACATACACACAAGTTTTGTAAAATCAGGTAGTTGATCTGTAGTCGCAGGACAAGGTAGTGTTTGTGACATAAATGAAGCTTACACGTCAGAAGGACTATATCAAGTTTCCAAGAAAAAACAGTACGGTGCATGCAATTAAGTTTACAAGACAAAAACTTGAGTGTAAAACACTGACAGTGATTGCTCAGGTCTTTTGTTTGGTTTTCTTAAGTCTTTCACTACTTTGGATTCAAATCCTGAATGTTTGAAGTTGATCCATGTCAATGGGAGCATGATTGGGCCCTAAGTATATATCATTTGTATTTTATGTTATAAAGTGGATTTTATTTTATTTATTTTTTTGTCCTCAATCCATCTATGCCTGCAACTAACCTGGTATTCTGGCTCTATAGAAAAAAACAACTACTGTAAATCTAAAAATATATTTAAACTGCCAAACTTTCTTAAGCAGACAGGATGGATGAGGTTATATCTTTTATTGGACTAACTTCTGTTGGTGAGAAGGACAAGCTTTCGAGCATATGCAGAGGTTTTCTTCAGCTCTGGGAAATTAAGCAGCTGTGGGTGCAGGATTGTTCATGGGTTGCAGATTACAAAAGCCATAAATGCAGTGTTTCTATTCAGTCCATGGTTTTTAGTGTCTAGCAAAGTTATGAATTTAAGCTTCCAGGGACATCTTTTGAAAGTGTTGTGCAGGTTTCCTTTGAGGATGAGGACTTATAGGTCAGATACAGAGTGATAGCCTTTAGGGAAAAATATTGCAATTGACCTGTTGTAGAGTATCGGGGAAACAGTGACTTTGGCATGTAACTTCAGACTTTAAATTTGACCTATATTATACCAAAGTAACAGAACAGCAGAATGTCTTCTTCGAAAACATCAAGGGTTTTTTTTTTTAGCTAATATTCATATAACATAACAAACAAGAACATTTTCTGCTCTAGAAAGCAATTTTTTTTTGTTAGATGGGAGGCTTTACCTTCTTGTTCTGATATGCAATATACTTCCAGCAACTCCAAGAGAATAAATCAGAACTGTGTTTGTTGTTCCACTGTGGTAAATGTGTGTTGTTGTTACGTGTTGGTAAATATCTGTTTTGTGACAAATGTCAGTTTATATAACCAAAGCTTGCTTTATGAATTAAGTGGTAACATGACTTTATGTTCTATATTTTCTGTTTTAAAAGCTACTTATGAACAAAAGAAAAACCTAAGCAACACGTTTTCAGTAGACTAGTCCAGATGTTCATGCCACTACTGGGAAAAGTATGCTGTTTCATCTTTATTCATTGTTTGTTGGACTGACTACACTATTTCCATAATCTGGACACAGTTTGAACAAGCCATTTAATGTTAAGAATTTAGAAATTAATGTCCGTGCCAAAACAAACACTATCACAAGAACACTAGATTATTCTACTAGGTTTGACTAAACCAACTCTGTCAAATAGCATGCTTCCCCCCCATCCCTTCCCATCCTCCCAAAAACCCAAACAAACATTAGCTGTGTTTGAGAGATTCTAGAAGAAAATGCTCTGAGAACAGTTCTTGTGAAAGGTGTTATACACAGAGCAGATTCAGCACAGAAGTGGAAATGCAAAGTGTCCTACGCCACCCTACTAGTATGATTTAATCCTTCTCCTGGAGTCACCATCTCTGAGTGAGAAGGTAGGCTAATCTTCATGTTCACTTAAATCTCTGGCCTCTCTGGGAATGTCAACAAGGGTGCTATTTATGATGGTGGCTTTTGTGTTGTGGCAATCACTAGTTCTTTTTATATAAACCACTTCACAGCTGTGGTATGGTAACCACTTCCTGTGGCTTCTATGCTAGGAAAGATTCAAACCAGTGACTGAGATCTCAAAGGCCCCATGTTGCATTACTAGTTGTCACCTTCTGTGAAAACACATCTGGAAAAGTGCCCAGGTGTATTTTAGACTTTATGATAATGATGTTGTTGTCGTCTTCTTGGCCAAGTATTTAGATTTTAGTTTTGAAGAGCTAAATCTTGGTTCTGTTGAAGTAAAGGACTCTGCTAGGTGCTCATCTAGCAAACAAATGTAAGTTTTTGCATAAGCACATTAGTAGTCCTATTGAAGTCAGTGAGACTATGCCAATGGATAAAGTTAAGCATGTGACAGCTATTTGCGAGATCAGGGGCTAAGATGTTAGTAACAGAAATAAACTTGTTTATAAATGGGTTTATGTTAATATTGTTTTTGGTTTAAAATATTGCTTTCAGACAAAAGTTTGAGTAAATGGATTGGCCTTGCCACATGCGCTGGAGATCAACAGACTTAGTTTTCAGTGTATAGCTGTGTCTCCTTAGGGGTGTTAAAAATCCACACCCTCGAGACACATAGCTATGCCGACTTAATTCCTGGTGTAGAAAAGAATTCTTCCATCGACCTAGCTACTGCCTTTCGGGGAGGTGGATTAACTACAGTGACAGGAATACCCCTCCATTGCTCAGTGTTTTTAAGAGTATACAGACCCTCATGGTCTGTCAGCCAACAAGAGAAGTTAATTCCAAAATCAAGGACCTTTCTCTGAGAGCTCTAATCTCCTGATGTACCACAGTGGGGGTTGACAGTGAGAGTGCCTTGGTTAATCTCAGCTGTCGGGACTGAGGATGGGGATGGAGATTTGTTTTTCTTGTCAGGAGTAGTAATATGTAGTGTTACAGGATATGGTTAGAGAGTGCAGAGGAAGTAATGACCACTAAAACCTCAGACTGATATTTGTTTTTCAATTTCTTGAATACTCCAGGAGGCTACACAGGAAATTAGATAATTTTTTTCCAGTGTGGCTTTGTTTTCTGTTTGCATTTTGGGAGTGGAGACAACTTGCTGGGTTTCTTGTGATCTTGAATGTGCTTCAGAGATGTGTGCTACATATGTTAAATATTCAGACCACGTCTACGCTACCATTTATGTCGCTCAGCAGTATGGAAAAAACACACACCCAAGAGTGACATAAATTTTGCCGGCATAAGTGGTAGTGTGCCCAGCGCTATGTTGGTGGGAGAGTTTCTCTAGCTGACATAGCTATCGCTGCTTGTTGAGGTGGTTTTATTGTGTTGACGGGAAAGCTCTCTCTCGTGGGCATAGAGTGATCTT